CCCCAAAACCCCAAAACCCCAAAACCCCTCTTGCTAAAATTTACTCATAGTAATAGAACATGAATTTTAAATTTAATAATTGTGATAAATATTGGAAGAATAGGCAAAACTTATAGAATTATTTTTATGAAATCAAGTTAATTGAATCCTTTACTTCTTCAAAGAAATTATTAATAAAAAAGTAAATCTCTGAGCAATCAGACTCTTTGCAAGAGCAATGAAGTATAGAAAGGAGGCAAAAACTTGGCAAGTTTTGAGCTATCAATTATTATTCATCAAAGATTAATTAGATCACTCACATTACAACTCAAAAGTACCCTCGATCACTGAATCACCTTCAATCTTCCAATCACCCTTTACTGTCTTGCCCTTGTTAGATAAAACACCTACATATGTGACAAAGTGTTTTCCTAAGTATTGTTTTCTGAAGACAACTTAACCATTTGGTTGATTGATCGTTCCAGAAATTATAAATACTCCAATTTTGTCTCCTCCATTTCCAAATACCTTATTTTTTGCTATAATCAGTCTTTCAAAGGTCATATCTCCCTTGGATTCACCTTGAACCCAAAAACCTGACCATTTTTATTTGCTTATATCACAGAGTTTTTCATACTTGTAAACGTGCTGAGTGCATTCCAAGCAAAGATCAAAACCATGCTCTTAGCAATAGTATTTATTTTTTGGGATGTTTAATTGAAGTCTGTGATTCCTCCAAAGCATTTTTCAAATATATGTCTTCCATCACATCCCCATCCACTGTCATTTATTAAAGGTCCCTCCAGTTAACAATTGTGAACTGTCAGGTTTAGAGGTCCTTTTGGTAAATCAAGTATATCCTAATTCTTTCTAAATTTGAGTTCATTTTTGCTTAATTTTATTTTGAAACTGTCCCAAATTTATCAACATGTTTTGTTCTAATGATGTTAAAATCTTGATCTCTTTTTCCTCTAAATGCTATTTCTCTCTCCTCGCCTTATATTAATTTATAAAGCGTTATATCTCCAGTTGAGAGGTCATTTGATCCATGAATTGTAATTGGAACATTGTTATAAGTACCTGCTCCCCTAATAATCTTTCTTACAATAATGAAATAATCAAGTACAAATACTCTTTTAATTCCATCTTCAGAGAAATATGCATTCCACTTTATCAAATTTTGGGGCTCTAATGCAGCAATAGCGCAGTCTTTACACAATGCAAATTAATACGATAAATCGAAAAACCCCTACTCATCATATGTTTAAAACTCTTAATTGAATCCTTTTTAGCAACCTCCCTTAAGCAATAATTCTCCATCGCATGTCCATCCATTGTTCTTAATTCCTTTTACTGTTTCATTATCCCAAAAATTAAATGTAATAGTTTATCCATCTTCACTTCTTTTGAATTAGGCGTCATCTATGTATAGAATTGCCTTCCGAGCACTATCTTAATACATAATTTTTTAACTTTGCTAGTTTGAACAACACAATCCCATATCAAGTTATGATTACTTTTATATCTTAATTTTTGTTTGAGTCTTTAATAAATTTATCATAAAAGTAGCTAGATTTGTAAAGATTAATTATTTGCTAAGGTCTTAAAATTATCAACTTCCCAATAATGAATTAAAATCCCCTTTAAACCAGGTATTTTTGATCAACTTCAAAACAAAAATAATTTAAATTCCATTAAAAATCAATCTCTACGGGGTTTTGGGGTTTTGGGGTTTTGGGG